TGGATGGATGGATGGATGGATGGATGGATGGATGGATGGATGGATAAACCCCTAACCAAAGAAAGCAGAGCTTGTTTTTCCCCATATGAATAAAAGTGTTTACAATTATCAGACAACTGCATTAATGAAAGATTTTCTCTTCCTTGTATTAGTTTCATTCGTTTAAATTGAATGTCATTGTTACAGAAGAGTCTGTGTGTTGTTTCTCCCCATCCCTCCGTTTTTCCTTAGGTTCTGCTTGTCATGTGTGTGCTCCAGCCTTACTTTAATGAGGAGAGCTTCAAACTGGTGAATTACCTTGCTGACTGAAGTCTTCCATGAACACAGCTCAACACCTCAAAGACAAAGGAGCTGGTTATTGACTTTGAGAAATCCAGACCAAGGCCAAGACCAGTTCTGATAGATGGGACTGAGGTGGAGGCTGTAGACTTATAAGTGTACTGCTTTTAATAATGAAATACTATTATTATGCAGTATTGAGTTAAGTTGAAATCAGGTCTCTCTTGTAAATGAGTCCTCGAGGCTCAATGGGATTTACCTGTCTAAATAAAGGTTGAATGAAAAAAAAAAAGTACCTTGGACTGTGGCTAAACAGCAAATTGGAATGGACAACTCACACAGACCACCGGAAGGGTCAGAGCAGGCTGTACTTCCTGAGGTTTTAGTCCTTTAACATCTGCAGGAAGCTCCTGTAGGTGTTCTACCAGTCTGTGGTTCCCAGTGTTCTTTTGTACACCGTATGCTTGGGGGTGCGGTTGCAGCATATCCAAGAAGGATGCATCCGGACTGGACAAACTGATTAGGAGGGCTGGCTCTGGTTGGCATGAAGTTGGACTTTGGTGACAACGGCAGAAACGAGGACTCTAAATCTGCTGGACATTATGGACGATGCCAGTCGAGGGAGGAAGAAATGCTCCCATGAGTGTACTTGTACTGTATTAAGTGAAAAGTGTCTCTCTGTCTGAGCTGCTACACCTGAAACAGATCTGAGAGCTGCTGTTTACAGCAAAGACTAACTCACAATCACTGTTTCGATAAAATACTGTAAAACATTTCACATCTGTCAGGATTCAATCATGTATAATAATAATAATTATCTAACTCAATGCACACCGCCATCATCAAACATCCATCCATCCATTATGTTTTACTCGCTTCTTCCATTTTGGGTCACAGGGATCACCGGTGCCCATGTCCCATCATCAAATAGTGGAGGTTATTTACTCATTAAACAAATGTCTTGGTCAATGACATAGTTTTAGTGCCACTGTTCCTTGTGTTGTTTTTTAAGGGTAATAACACAATGAGGGCTCTTCCAGGAATGCTTTCCTGTGAGTGGTCTACACCACACAGCTGGAGTGCGGTGAACTGTGGTTGTGTCAGGGAGGGCATCCAGTGTGAAACTCTTGCCAAATCCTTGTGTGAGTTCACTCACTGTGGCAACCCCTGACGAAGGGAGCAGTCAAAAGGAAAAATAAAAAAAAAAAATAAAACATACTATATCATCAATCAATATGTCAGTGAAATTAACATTTTTCTAATTAAAGTAAGTAAAAATACAGGCAGAAGCTGCTACAGTTAACAAAATGCATGTTTTATTTAAAAAAAAATACATAATTAAAAACTGCTTTTTAAAATTATTATTTTAAAATGTCACAAGTATTTTTAGCCCTTTTAAATTTAAATTCACTCCAGGTCCTTCTGCAGGGAACTGAAAATAAAACCAGTGGCTCTGGCTCTTTCAGTTCCCTCCGGAGTCACGCAGCATTACAGAAGAACAACAGTCAGTGGGACCGCTTTGAGTAAAACTCTTGCAACAACGTCATTTATTCTAAACAAAGACACGCAAACACACAGGTCGATGGGGAAAGGGAGGGTGTTCTCTAACTGGTTTATGTGTAAAACTTTTTCAACAAAAAATAATAGCTAATGGAGTCAAAGCAGCAGTTTGTGGACGAGATCCATTCAGACACTCGTAAAAAACAGTGGGCTGGCAAAAATTCAGTCATCCAGTTTGAGTCTGAGGGAACCGTTTGTAAGAAGTTAACAACAAAAGCAATATGGATGGGTGTGTAGCAGACGAGGAACACAATCAGATTTGTTGTTACGATGCCAATGAGGCTTTTCCTTTCTGCTGAGCTGCGGTGCTTCTTTAACAAAATAAAGATTAAATGAGCAGAGCAGAAGACGATGATCAGCAGAGGAAGGGCAAAACCCACAAGCACCAGGAGAATGAGAAATTTTAGGCTGAGTGGAAAATCTTTACGTCTTTCATAGCATGTCCAGAGTTTCTCGGGATTGTTCTCGTGATGAAAAGCAACAGCCATAGCCACCAGGAGGGCCCAAATGATGAAGCACACAGCAACCGCTGTTTCTTTCTTCCTCCTCCGGGACCTGACCTGCAGGGGGAACCTTATAGCCAGGTAACGTTGGCCACTGATGACCGTCATGGTCAGCATGCTGGCATACATGTTGACAAAATGAATTTGCATGAGAAAAGTGCACATGTAGGTTTTAGGTAGGCAGAAGAAGGTGTCATAGATCCTGAAGGGAAGGGATAGGATTAGGGCAAAGTCAGCAACTGCCAAGTTCATCATGTAGATGTGGGTGGATGTCCAGGAGCCCCGGATGGAGATGAAGGCCCGCAGCGCAGCAGCATTAACAAAGAAGCCAATCAGAAATACTGGCGTGTAAGCTGAAAACTCAAAATAACCCACTGAGCATGTATTATTGGTGCCGTTGCCGGACATATTGTTCTGTGAACCATAAAACAAATGGTTAGTTCAATGATCTGAGATCCAAAGAGATCAAATTGATTAAAAAAAAAAAAAGCAACTTCCTGGTAATCTAATACTTTTAGATGTTTAATAAGCTGGCATTCATAAAGAAGTTTTGAAAAGATGTGTGCACGCAAACCTGTTGGTGTTGGTTTTCTGTGATCTTTCAGACGAGACAGCCCGCAGTTGTTATCGTGTGCAAATCAGTTGGCTGTCAAAAAAATTGTTTTTCACCATCATCTAAGTTTGCAACACAGACATTTCAGAAAGGTTGCCCACATGTTCCTTAAACATGATCACTTTTCTTAATAACTGACACGTTTCTGTCACTAAAACCTTGACAAAACTTTTTATTGCTGTTAAAAACAACTTACCTCGTGAGCTGTTCTCTTGTTCATTAACCTAAAGAACTCATTTTGCAGACGCCCACATCTTTTGTCAGCACATCTGCATTATACGTGCACGATGTGTCGTTTCTTCTTTTTCTGGTAATAAAAAAAATGTTTCCTTTGTATGTGGCTGCGTTGTGTCTGCAGACAAGTATCCTATCCTCGGTCAGTCTTGATCAATGAACTTTAAACAACAGAAAGCTGTTGTGTATTTTATGCCTAACAATATGGTGCCTAATACTTTATTGTGTGATAAATTTGTTCTTAGATTTTTTTTTATATTTACCAACAAAATCCAATTTGAGTTTCATGTGACAGTGGGGGAAAAGTATTATTTTACTGAGTTGTTTAGAAGAACATCTGACTTGAGACAAATACACTAATAATTCAACCCCCTGTTCGTAAAAATAGGCTTGTTTTGCATTGTGATAATATTAAAAAGTGTGTATTTCTGATCAGACAGGACACAGACCAGACTGCACAGTGTTGATCTTCATAAGTTTCTAACCATAAACTTAGCCACATAGCGCAGTTTTTCATAGAATGCTCAAGTTAGTGGTAACTTTGTCACTCTGAATGCATTTTTACAGAACGTGTGTGCTTTTTAGTCCTTACAGATCTGAGGTAGCAGCTGAAACAAATGGCGTGTATTCATTGTTTCAGTTTATTTAGTTTATTTAAGTTGGAAACAAAGGTCAAAAGAAGAGTCTAATCAGAAATTGTATAATTACCGACAGTTTAGTTCTGTAATTAGATTCCTATTGAACTAAACAGTTAGAAAATTCTCAATTTAACTGTTTTGACAACAGGAGTCAGTGAATTGTTCTGAATTTTCTTTTAATTTCAAGCTCCCATTCTAAACACATCTGTGACATTTATAGGATGGTGGAACACTGTGCATTTTAGCAGAAACAGACCAGCAGAACCAGTATAGGGAGGGTCACTACATGATGGAATGTCTAACAGCCCACAGCATGGACTTTGTTTCCCACAGTAAGTCATTTCAACTTGGTTAAACAGCTCTAAGAAGTGACTTATGAGCCCAGAATGCTGCCTTCATCTATCAAATATAACATCACATCATCTGCAAATATAGAGAGTCAGTCCTTGTTGTATGGCAGGATGTAACATCTGTTTGCAGATTGGTTGCTCTGTAAGAACAGTACTTCAGACAAATGCGTCAGAAGATCCTTTCAGGGCGTTTGTTGTTTTTCTAGCCTGTAGCAGAAATGGTGAAAAACAACACTTTGCGTATTAAATGTGCAGCCTGTAAACAAACACTGCTGACTGTTCATTTAGACATTAACTCTTAGCTAAATATGCAGTATTTCAAACTGTGTTGTTCTCGTTGGGGGAAAAGAAATGTTCCTTTAATACCAAAAAACAGTTTTCGATGACCAATTTCAAGTTGTTTTCTTTTTGTATGAGAATATCAAGGGCCAGACTGATTTGGCCCCAGGAACGTTTTCAGGTCTCTCAGCTAAGCAAACACATCCTAATATTGTTAACTAATGGTGATAATGGGGTTTTTATTATGTTCTATTGTTGGTTCTTGTGAATGTATGATAAATGTAGAGCGTGTCAAAGTAGAATTTCTGCTACAATTGTAGTAGACAATAAAGTTTTATCTTATCTTATCTAGCATCACCAAAAAAGAAAACGCATGAAAACTGAAGGCTCTGCCTCCTTTTGTCTTTTTGTAGACCCTTTCAGGATAAAGTTCGTGTGCTTCTGAGATGTCAGAGTATGAATGACTTCAGCACCAAAAGCATACTGTGGAAAACTAACATGAAACCTTTGCAGGCAAGATTAGCCTAAACAAAGGTTTCATTGTCTGAGTCAGTTATCTTTTGCATTGCATCGTGGTCAACGATAACTAACAAATGGTTTGTTCCACACAGGGTTTTTTTATGGCCTTATAAGAATGTTGGTTCAGAAACTGGAAAATATGTGTGTTAATCTGGCTTCTAACAACCTCACATACAGGTGTCTATATGTTTTGTATTTATTGTAGAGCTTTACAGTGGGTTTCAAAGTTAAACCTTTTGTAAAGTTTTCAGGTAAAAGCGTCCAGTTTGCATCAGCCAAAAAGCATCAGCCTCAGCTTTTAATTTATCTTCAAAGACCTGGGGCTGAAAGTTCATTGAACAGAATGGCGATTGACGAGAGAAACTTGAGAATGAACAAGTGAGAGCTTTATAAAAAAAAAGCAGAATGTACGAGAAAGGTTTCTGGGAATGCTTTTTGGACCAGCTGAGTGGAACTAATGAGAACAAATGTCACAAAAACAGACGGCTCCACACAGAAAGGTTTGGAGAATAAAGTTGCCTTTTTATTAGTTAAATCCATTTAAGGCAACGCAGTTTGAATTTTGGGAAAAAGTAACTTGTGAAGGAAATAATCTGCTCCGAGGTTTAAAGCTTTTGAACAACAGGGTGAGCTGCTGCAAGCTAGAGAAACAAAAACCACCGCTGTAGAGAAAACCATAAAGATTTAATTTAGGTGAGTTAGTGAAAAACTTGCCTCGTTCTGCAGAAGCAGATAATTAGGTAAAATCATTCCAATCAATACAGCCTGTTTATGTGCTGCTTTTCATTTATTGCTCATTTTGTATAAAAAAAACGGGAAGTCTGAAAGGCTCGGGAGATGTTAGATTAGATCCAGTTTATTAGAGTGTGTTTGGCAGTTATTATGTTACGTTTTTATTAAAAGCCTTAGAGATATTGTTCTGTGGAAATAAAGGCAAAAATCTAATATTGCACAGGATATGAAGGAGCTCGCTATTTTAGATGTGGTCTGTTGTTCTCGTTAATTTGTTTGAAATCCATTTAGGCCTATCTGCTTTTCACTTAGATGTTTCCTTGAGAGAAAAAAGCTGGAGCTGGTTTCTTGGTTTGTTGTTTCCTGGCTCACATTCAGTTAGTCTGCAACCTTCTAGCTGATCAGCTGGCCTCTGTGACTCATGTGCTTTCATTTGTATCTACCTGGTACTGTCTGAAAGTGCCCTTTACACATCAGCGGTGAGGCAAGGGGGAGCAGGGAGGCGGAGGGGGTTTTCCATTGCTTTAACTAGGTCAGTGAGGACACACCCCTCCCTCCTCTAGCTGCACCCCTGCTTCCCAACCCGTCCTGTCTCCCTTCCCTCCACTTTTCCTCTGCCATGACGCAATGCAGACTTTCTGCACACCTTCTGAGTCTAACAATCATGGCACAGGCTTCCATTTTTGGTGACTGGTCCATCCTCCACACATCATCTGCATCTGGCAGTCGTGTCTTGTAGCAGTCCAACAAACACAACTTGCACTTTTATAGATGCCTGTCAGGTTCTGTGACTCAGCAGCACCATGTGGATCTGTTAATCCATCAGTCATTTGGCCCAGCTTTTTGTTGTGATTACATAATGTCCCAGTTTTACATCTGCGATAAGACTCCTGAACATTTGGCCGGGGCCGTGCTGAAAATGTGTGACCATGTTTGCTTCCCCCCACCCCCCCACTCTCAAAGGAACTCCTTTATGTGTTTAACTATGTGCGTCTGGCATTAAAGAGAACAATTGCCGCATTCATAGTCAATTTTGAACACCTCATAACTCCTTTAACTTGTGACTCGTCATGTGTCCCAGCAGTTTTATGACAACAAAGGCTGGAAACCATTAAAAGAAAACACCTCAAGTGCAAATTCCGAACATTACATAAGCCTCAGTTTGTTATACTGCTCATCCAACACTGGGTGTCTCTGTTTCTGCTGCCTGCACCAGGGTGTCACATTCAAGCCAACATACCCATTCTCACACATCCCTGATTGTCAAATGCGCTGTTTCATTCAGTAAACAGCTATTCTGGGTGAGATGCAGGTTCTTGAAAAGGTCTCAAAGCAGAGCACCGAAAACTGAAACTGTGAAAATAATAACAAGCTGCACTGAAGGCTTGCACGGCCTGCAGCATGAAACAGATCCTCTGTCCATTTAACATGACTGTCGTCACAAAAAGCATGACTCCTGCTGGATTGTAATGTCTGATGAAGAAAGAGGGGTTGTATAAAAACAGGAAAAGAGGATCAGATAGAACTTGGGTGGAGATGAGGAGCGAATGCTTGGCCCGCAGTGCCTTGCGGTTGGCCCACAGCAGATTTAGGTCATCGGGTCAAAAATGAAGGAGATGCCAGAATAATCACGGCAGATGAAAAGCAACAGGAAACTGGAACAACCTCTCTCTGTTTACTGGGCTTTGCTGGTCGTGTGTTCACACTTGCCTGGGCGTAGCTGGGTCAGGCTCACATGGCGAAGCACGTTGAGTCACACCGGAGATAAACACAACCCAGTTGCCATGGAAACCTGCCTTCCCACTTGACGCATCTTTGCACGTTTGTATTTGCATCTGATCCTTGTGTCGGAGCTGACAGATGCACTGATTCACCCACACACACGTGCGCGTGCACACACACAAAATGTGGCAAACATGCATTTCAAAATAGGTTGATACGTCATTTATGATTACAGCCAGACTTTCTTCAATTGTGTCATTCTTTTGTACAATCAAAGCCGAGGTTTGGCTTTGTGGCATCAGCTGAATCCTCCCTCTATTC